GGGCTGTTCTTTCTGTCCTGGTATCCACCAGAAGCAGAAAGGTGGAGCGATAATGGGATTGGCACTGTGGGGAAGTAGATAAGCAAGTTCTCCCCCCACCCACCCTTTGTAGCGGTCTAATCAGCCGGGCCCAGGGCCCCAGCGGCTCCTACCAGCGGCACTTCCGCAGGGACTCCCACGCTGCCTGAAGGAAGGAGCCCACTGACCGGGCTGAGTCCAGAAGGACAATGTGTCACGTCACAGAGGCGTGCGGCGTCCTCAAGCGAGCCTGCCTGCAACGTCTCCCGTCTGTCCGTCACATCTGACAAGGCAGCACTTGCCCCCCGGACACGTGCGATTACCTGACCGACGGCCTTTCCTACATGGCTCAGGTGGTAAGAAATGGTTAGGCCCCCTCCACGGTGCCTAACCACCAACACGACCAAAGCCTTGGCCGGTAGAAGCAGAGAGTGCGTCGTCAGGTCACAATAACTGACGCTTTCATGTTCGGGGTCCGGGGCCTAAGGGACGACACTTGGAAGAGCCCGCTCCCTGCGTGGAACACTTTGGAACTTGTCTCCCGTTCCAGCGACTCTTTGCTCTCTTCTTCCATAATTGCACAGAGAAAGTCCCAAATAGTCCTCAGGCTCAAAAGTGGAAGTCTGCCACATTGATTTATTATTATTATTATTATTATTATTATTATTATTATTATTATTTCACGGGTCCTAAGGATACAGTTGGATTTGTTTATAGACAAATGTATACACCCAAGTAAACACCACCGTACAAAGTGAAGATATAGAACATGACTAACCATCCAAAAAGTTCCCTCATCATCCTTTGCAGTTTGTCCTGCACCCCCAGCAACTACTCTCCCGATGGCTATCTCAATAGATTAGCTTTGTCTGTTCTTGGATTTCACCGAAGTGGAATCAGGCAGCGTGTTCTCTGTGGTAGCTGGCTGGCTTCTTGAGCTCCACTTTATGGTTCTGAGATTCCTGCAAGTGGCAGCAAGCGGCTCTAGTAGTTCCTTTTTGATGGCCGAATAGTATTCCAGAGCGTGCACTTACCACAAGGTGTTCACCCACTATTAACACAGAAGCTGCTAGGAGGGCACAGGAGTTTGCTTCAGTGAAACAAAAGGTATCAATGCCTGGTCAAATCTACAGTCCACGCTTGGCTTTTGCTCGTGGTTATACACAGAGCTGAATTTGATTTTTAATCCTCAGTCCTCAAGGGAACGAAAAGGAGAGCGTGGGAGAAGCAGGAGTCGCGGGAAAGCCTGACTCCGAGAAGAAAGTGCAGGGAGCACAGGCTGTGTCCGGGGCTCTATCTTCATCGCGAACCAAGCTTGCTCTGGGCCCCAGCTCCGATCAAGGGCTGTGGAAAGACTGGATGAAAGGCAGGTCTAACCCTCGCTCAGAGTTTTCTTCTTCCTGGCTCTCCTGGCTCCTTTGACCGCTGGCTAAAAATCCTTTTTAACTGTAGACAATTGAAAGGCTTTGCACGATTCAAGTAGGCATTGTTGCTTAGGTATTCTGCGAGACGACTCTATCCAGGGAGTACGTTTGGCGGCGAAGGCCATGGGCGTGTAGAAGAATATTTTGAGGCTCTTTCCATGGACCGCGTGAAGCACACATCAAAAGAGTAGGAAGGTAGCCTGGGGGAAATGATGTAATTTATTATGATTTCTCATCATCAGAACTTAAGGTGTCCACAGGGAAAGAATAATAGATCCTGTTCAAAGGTTTCTTTTGCTTCCTTGTGATTCCTTCCTCAATATGTTTAAGACTTAGAAGAATACAGACATATCTAGTTTCATCTAATTCGTTGGGCGACAAGTGAGATCAATCTAGTTTGGTCTAATCAGTTAGATGTCCTCAGCAAACATCATTCCAGCTGAGTGTGGAACAAACAAGACTGAAAAAAATAGTAGCTCAACATTACGCAGAGGTTATAGAAACTCATTAGTGCCAATACCGTGGATTAATTTTTGAGCCAGTGACTATTTATAAGACCAAATCTTTCTTTTATAGTTAGATTTTTAAAGATTTTATTTATTTATTTTTAGGGAGAGGGGAAGGGAAGGAGAAAGAGAGGGAGAGAAACATCCATGTATGAGACATACATCGATCAGTTGCCGCTTGCACGCCCCCAGCTGTGGACCTGGCCTGCATGTGCCCTTACTGGGAATCGAACCAGCGACCTTTCGGTTCACAGGCCAGCCTGAGCCACACCAGCCAGGGCCATTGTTAGAATTTTTTTATGTGTCACTTGAGTATTACCCCTCACGTCTCAATTGAAAATGCGGTTGCTAACGTTTAGATTTGCTTAGACGTCCAGTCCTCGCTTCGCAGGGTTCCCCAGGGGAGCCCACCGTCCTTCTGAAGTTGCTGTGGAGGGAGCGGCTCCCTGGCAGGGTTGCGTGTGCAGCCTGTCGCCCGGAAAGGCTGCAGGTGCGGGCGGCGCGCTGCCAGGAGGCACAAGGAGGCAAAGCCGCCCGAAAGCACAGTCTAGGTTAGGAGCACTGCAAGGGCATCTTGGCCTCGGGCATGTCCTTAACACAGGCCGCTTCCAGGGCAGAAACGAACCCAATTTGAAAAAAAGTAAAGCTAAAATCTTTACAAGGCTTTTTATATTGGGACGAAAACAAGAGATGTCATCAATCACAACCCAAATGCTCAGGTTACTAAAATAGAATCCAGTATCTAATTATTATGAATGCAAAATTCCCATTTCTATCAAATTCTGAACTGCGAATAAGAGGCGATCAAGCTAAAGACATTGTTCTACTTATAATACTTGAAGGCAAGATTTTTTTAAAAGACTTTATTTATTTTTAGAGATGGAGGAGAGAGGGAGAGAAACATCGATATGAGAGAGAAACGTCAGTCAGTCGCCTCTCACAAGCACCTTGATCAGGAACTGAACCTGCAACCCGGGCATGTGCCCTGATCGGGAATCGAACCAGCAGCCTTTGGTCCGCAGAAAGATGCCCAGCCCACTGAGCCACAGGAGAACATTTTTATTTGAAGTTTCTGTAAAGTTATAATCAGACTTGAAATAGTTGGGAATAAAGTATTATTTGATACCATTTTGTAACTCTGCTAAATCTATATGAGCCAATGGTACTTTTTCACAAGAGTATGTCAAGCCCTGGCTGGTGTGGCTCAGTGGGTTGAGCATCAGTCTGCAAACCTTCATGTCGCTGGTTTGATTTTCCAGTCAGGGCACACGGCCAGGTTTTGGGCCAGGGCCCTAGTTGGGGGCATGCAAGAGGCGACCGATCTCGACGTACAGCCTGCATGGCGATGTTTCTCTCCCTCTCTTTCTCCCTCCCTCCCCCTCTCTCTAACAGTAAATAAATAAAATCTTAAAATAAAAAAAAAAGAATATGTCAAGTATTGCTCAGATAGTCTGTTTAAAATTCTGTGTTCAAAATTTGATGGGTATTTATTTTAGTATAAACATATAGTCACTGGGGTTTCATTTGTTTGTTTTTCCCATCTTCTATGGTCAGGATATGCTGAATTAAAACCAGATACTCACGCTGGGACACAACCAAGGAGTCCTTCCTCACAGCCACAGTTCCCTGAACAGAACGCGGGACCTGTCCTACTTGTGCCTCGGACAACCGGTCCGTGAGCGCTCAGCTTTCTGGGGGTCCAATGTCCTGCCTGGGGTTTCCAGGAGGAAAGCACACCTCATCGCTGGACGCTGTGTCCCCAGGCGGCCAAGGGGGCTGCCCTCCCAGGTGCTGAGCTCCCCCACCTCACCTCCCCCGGGCCCTGTGAGTCACCCCTATGCTTAGAAAGCCACGTCCTGGAGCAGGACCCCTGTATCGTCCACAGAAGCCCCAGATTGGCCTCGCCCGTAGGCTCGGCTCTGTAATGGAAGCTCTAGGAAGTGAGGGCGGCATGAACTCATGCCTTCCGGCTCGGCAGACAGATGGACAGGCCTTCCAGCTTGTTTCCAGCCTTTTGTCTTCGGAGCATTTTTGGCATTTCCTTCGGGAAGCCAGGGGTTGTGACCTCGGGCTTCCTTAGTGAGCACACTTCTGTTTCCCACAGTTAACCTTACCCAGAAATGACATCCACCCTATTACGTGAGGTTTATCTCCGCGTCCCAACTGTGTCCTGTGCACACTCAGCGACACTGGAAAGCACACGTTCTGAAGAACAATCGCATGGAGAGCCAGGCACACCAAAATGCTTCCATTCGACCCCCCGTGAAAGTGACAATAAAATGAGCATTAACCACGGCAAGAATTCGGTTTTGCTCGTCAGGTAGGCTTGCTCTCGTCTTACAGTCTGAGAAACAAAGGACTAGAGACGTTAAGAGCTCGCAGATACTATGAATTGAAAGTTTTCAGAGAGAAGGTGTCTGCCCCTCAGCCTCTTGCTACAACTCGCTGCTTCAGTGCCACGCATAGCTCAGGGGTCGACAGGGAGAACCCAAGGCAGCATCCTGGAAAGTTACGCGATTTACTAGTATCCCTCGGACCCCTATCGCCACGCCCCCAGCACGCTGGGAGTAAGCCAAGAATGCAAGCTTTTGTTGATAGGTTTGAGCAGGCCATTGAGTTTCATAACTTAAAATTTTAAATTAGATTGGCAACCCCACTGTTCTGCGTTCTTTCTTTAAAAACCCATGTTTTAGGGCAGAATTACTAGACTTGATTTAGCTTGGTGTGGCTGCGATTTAAAAGTCAAACAGTTGCGATTCCTGGCCACGCTGTCTTTAGAGGTGGGTGGTTTTTCATCTCGGTCTTCGCTGCTCTTCAGTGTTAACATATTGAAGTTTCTCTTCCTGAAAAAGATAGAGATACAGTGGTTTCTAAACAAACCACACTTTTTTTTTATACCCTCGTTTGTTAGGTAAAAATCCTTTAAACAATAACAGGTATTTGCCTTTAACTTTGACTCTAGCGAGCCACAAAAGGAAACAGAAGATCTCAATAATTATTTTTAAAATACTCTTCACAAAGGAATCTTTTAAAAAATCAGTTTATTAATGTTTAAAAGTTGATAAAGCTATGTGCAAAATGATCCACAGAAGTCAGAAACCTATTAAATACTGGTTTTTTTTTTTAAAAAAAGACATTTCTTGGTTTAATTGCACTGAAAACCATACTAGACACAGCAATGTATTTTTATTCTTTGTAACATTTACACTCAAGTTCCATGAACTATTTCATCAACTGAAAAACTCCAGGTGTTCCCTATCAGTTAAAGTAATGCTTTAAGGGCACAAAGAGGGTGATACTTTCTTTAAAAATACACATTCAATGGTGTTAACACAGGTTAGAAAACTCCAATAAAATGCTGAAACAAATACATTCAAAAATCATGAAAAAAAAAACTTGCAACACAACAAAATACAACCATCCCAATGATTCACACAACGCTCTGAAACAAACATCCACAAAAGTGCCAAAGACAGGTGTTGTTTGCGTTAGACGAATTCGTTAGGAAACCCTTCTTGGCTCACGAAGCCCACCCCCAGTCCCCTTTCTCTGTGCCTTGTGCCTTTGCTGAAGGTCCTGGCTGAGGCCGCTGAGACAAGCCGGGCTTCCCTCCGCAGATGTCAGCCACAATGGCAGGATGCTGTAACGCATTCCATTGCAAAGAGGTCAAAAAGAAAAAAAAAAAAAAAAAAGGAAGAAAATCAAAGTGACTACAACCAAATTCCAAAAACTGGATCCAGGTCTCGTGGAAACTTTGGCCTCAGCAAATGCAACTGCCAGACGCGTCCAGCCATCTCCCCTGCCAGTCTGCCTCGTGCGCGCGCTCCGCCCGTCAGCCACGGGCCACGGAGCCGCGGCCGGGCCACGCCCCTCCAGACGGGGACACTTTCTCAGGGGGCCCTTGGTCTTGGAGGAGGGCCCAGGGAGCCCTTGAGGAGCTTGACAATGCTAGACCTTTGGCTCGGCGCAAAATCAAGGCTCTGGGGGAAGGAAACAGGCTCCAGGCTCAGACCCGCGCTCCGCCCTTCCCCAGCGCATTGTTCACAGGGCTGACTGCCCCCGGGCCCCCGCCCGCCGCGGGCGCGCCTCCCTCTCCCCTGGCAGCTCTGAGGCACAGCGACGTTTTCCAAACACTGGGCGGTGGGCGATCGTGCACAAACACTCCCCAGGGGTCGGCAGCTTCCAGCTTTAGGAGGAAGAGTTGACGTTCCCGGAGGACATTATGGTTTCTGGGTTGTCCCCATCGTCCTTCTGGGGGTGGGATGAGTTGTCCGACTTGCTGCGGCTGAACTCCACGCCCGCGATGATGGGGCGCTTGAACTTGCCCGCGGCGTCTCCGCGGGGGCACTTGCAGCAGGACAGGATGCGGATGAAGGCCCGGCGCATCTCCTTGTTGGTCAGGGTGTAAATGATGGGGTTGGTGCCCGAGTTGAGCACGGCCAGCACCAGGAAGTACTCTGCCTTGAAGAGGATGTCGCAGGTGCTCACCTTGCAGCCCACGTCCAGCAGGAGCAGGATGAAGAGCGGCGCCCAGCAGGCGATGAAGGCGCTCAGCACGATGATCACCGTCTTGAGCAGCGCCAGCGACTTCTCCGAGCTGCGGCTGGTCTTGGACGCGTTCTTGCGGAAGGTGAGCCGGCGGCTGCGAGTCCTGACCAGGGAGTAGATCCTGCAGTAGAGGATGACGATGGAGAGCAGGAGCACGGTGAAGACCGTGGTGCAGAAGAGGATATAGTGCTTGTGGTAGAGCGGCAGCACGGTGGAGCAGCCGGGCAGCGCGCCCACGCAGTTCCAGCCCATGAGCGGCAGGCCGCCGAGCACCAGCGAGATGACCCAGCAGGCGCTGATGAGCAGGAAGGAGCGGCAGCTGTTGCTCTCGTTGTGCAGCTTCATCTTCAGCATGGTGATGTAGCGCTCGATGGCGATGGCCAGCAGGCTGAACACGGAGGCCGACAGCGCCACGAACATGCTCCCTTCGCGCAGGAACCACTGCACGGGCGTGAGCTTGTAGGTGTTGGCCCCGGAGAAGAGCAGGTTGATCGCGTAGGCCACGCCCGCCAGCAGGTCTGAGAGGGCCAGGTTGCCAATGAAATAGTACATGGGCCGGTGGAATTTCTTGGTTTTCCAGATGGTCAGCAAGACGAAGATGTTCTCCACGATGATGAAGCAGCAGATGAGAATGAACACCACCGAGGTCACTTTGAGGCCGACCTCCTCCGTGCCCAGGCCCGGTTTCAGCTTTCCCGTGTAGTTGTAATGCCGGATGATGGTGTCATAATTGGCGTAGTCGGAGACGGGGCCGCGGAGGGCCTTGACCACGGGGGAGCCGGTGGACCTCATGGCGCGCGCTGCGTCCGCAAGAGCCGGAGGGGCGCTGTGGGCGCTAGAGGGCGCTGGAGGGCGAGGCGGGCAGCGAGCCAGCGGGGACCGCACGCTCAGCGGGAGGGATCCAGGCTTCCCGAGCGTCCGGGCTGCAGAGGCTTCGGAATCCCCAGCCCTAAACAAGGTACAAAGAGGGTCAGGGAAAAAGCCCCAGCGCAGCGGCACCGTTCTCCCTGGCCGAGGCACCACTTCGGTTCTGTGGGTTTGTTTTAAGGAAACTGGGGCGGAGCGCAGGGAGAGGGACTTAAATAAATAAATAAATAATCGACTTCTCATCTCTTGCAAAAAAAAAAAAGTGTTTTTAAAAAGAGGAAAAGAGAAGGACAGGAAGAAAGATTAGGAGAATGGGGGGGGGGGAACACCTCGCCCCAATTGAACAAGACTCTAACTCCACCCGCGGTGAGGTCCACTCAGATGGAAATGGGAAAAGCGGAGAAGCGAGCCCCTTCGACCCCACTCTCGCCCTCTCACGCCCCCTCCCCCACCCCGCGGGCAGCCCCGGCTCAGCGGGGCTCCCAGGCCGAGACCCGCCGCCCAGCGAGGTAAGTGGAGGCGCACATCTCTGCGCAGCTCCCATCCAGCTAAAAGAGACCAGGGCCAACTCCTAACTGTCGAGCAAGAAATGAGAGAGGAGCGAAAGTCATTTGACAGCTAAGTCATTTGGGGGCTCTATTAATAACTCTGGCAGCAGGTGTTCGGGGTCCGAGGGCGCTGCGTGGTCGGGGCAGCCAGGCCCGCCCTGGCCTAGAGATAAACAGGAAAACTAGCGCCTCCGCCAAACAACTGCCCTTCCTTTCTTCTTTTTTCTCGTAGGCAGTGCAAGACCTTGTAAAGATGCTCGGTGAAAACCGTCTGTGAGAGACTGCCATAAACCCCGAAGTTTCCTACGCTCCTTGACTGCAAAAGGAGTGTGCGCGGTTCCCGTGCTGAGAGCCAACACCGCGAGCAGCTACCCGCCCGGTAACAATGCAGCCGCCGCATTCCTACGCCCCGTGCAAAACGCTCCGCGGAGCTCACGCGGAGGCTACCGCCGTGGGCAGTGTTATTTGCCGCCCTCCCCCCGCACGTGGCCTTCTCGGCGACCTAGAAAGCGGGGAGAGGACGCGAGGTGGCCTTCGTTAGCGAAGTCTGCTTCTAAGTTGCTTACGCGGTACGAGGCAACGCAGCAATGGGATGAAGTCGAGGAGCTGAGGCGAGGGGGCTCCCACCAGCCGCGGACAACCCGCAACCCCCGCGCCCAGGAGCTCCGCGGGCCCCATCTAACTCCGCTTGGCCGGCCTGCAAGTGCAGGGCAAAGCCCTGAACCCCCTCCCCCAATACTCTTTGTGCATAGGATTTCTAAAGCTAAGCGCCTTCCCTCCTCCCCCTCCAACCAACCGCAGCTTCCAGTACCTCCCCACCCCAGTCGGCTCTACAATTGGGACTTGACTCTTTTCCAAACTTCACAAATCACAAGTGCCCAAGACCAACTCGGCCGCGCTGGGCTCCTCGGTTGCTCGGAGATGCCTGTTTTCAGCGCCCCGGAGATGGATGTTTGAAAAGTTTTTGTTTTGCTCCTTCCCGGTCTAACAGTGCGTTTGGGACGCCAGAGCCCTGCGACCACGCGGCGCCCCCCGGCCCCGGCCCCGGCCCCGGCCCCGGCCCGCGCCCCTACCTCGCTCAGGCCGGACGAAGCCGCGTTCGTGGAGCTGCGGGTCTGCTCTGCGCGCCCGTCATCTTGCTGCTGCCCGCGCCTGACAGCGGCTGGCCCAGCACTTGTGGAATCAGAGCCCCCTCCTCCTCGGGGCACTCTCCATTGGCCAGTCCCTCGCCGTGCGCGCCACCCGCTTTCCTCGGAAGGGGCGGGGAGACCCGTGCCGAGCTCTCCCACGCCCAGCACCAGGGCGGCGGGGAGGCTCTGCGGCAGAGGCAAATGGAATAACCCCTCCCCCGTACAGGCAACAGAAAGAAAAAAAATACACAACAGCAGGGGCGGAGCCCGGTGCAGGCTGGACTCTAATTATAAATCATGCCCGTGCCCTGCTGGCCGCGGCTCAGGGGGTGGAGACCACTCTCCCGAGCCTTGGGGAGGAGAGGAGGTGGGTGGCATTTCTCCCGAAAAGTCCTAGGGGTCAGAGGACCACCTGGTGTCCCGCAGCCCTTGGGGACTCGGGGTCCCAGGATCGCGGCCCGGCGGCCCCGGGCCGCTGCTGCGCAGGCTGGGGGATCGGGAGCCCAGCCGCGCTCTGGCGAACAGGCTGCAAAGGGGCTTCAGGAGGCCCAGGCGGCGAGGGAGCAGAGAGGGGGTGCCCAGGACGGGCCTCCACCTCTCGCCTCCACTCCCACCCCCGTCCCGATGCTGCCTCGAAACTTGCGGTCTAAGGGGCAGAAAGTGGCTTTCCCGGGGCGCACAGTGAAATGGGCCAGCGTTGCTCAGGCGAGGTGCTGCTCGGGGGTTCCCCTCCCGCAGCCGGGCGTCCAGGCGGGCAGTGTGCCCCAGATTCTGGCCGGTGCTGAAGGGCCTTTCAGGAGGTGGGCAGCTGCCTGGCCGGCGAGACTGTCTAAAGCGCGGGCAGGTCAGGAAGTTCCGAAGGGGAAGAGCGCCAGGGCCGCTACTGCCCGGTTGGGGGCCGGCTCCCTTCTTTGCCTTTCTGCTTGGGAGGAGCCCCAAACCTTTAGGCTCTGCGAACTCCCCCTCTCTTTCTCGCGCTTACATGCTGCTTCCGAGAGTGAGAGGTGGCGGTGGCCTTGGTCTGCTCCAGCTGTGTGACAAGCTCAAAGCACTTCGGCCCTCCCTTGCTGCTACAAAGACGGCTCTGAGCCTAGGCCTGGTTACACAAGCTTCCCATCCCCGCAGATGTGAGGGCAAAATTCTCCGCTTTGCAGTTTCAATTGACAGACACGCCCTGTACCTGAAATGACTCAGGAAGCTGCATGAATCAACAGCAGACCCCGGGCTTAGGGGATCTTCTGAGTTTGTGAAAGAAGAGGTCAAGTGTCAGCTAATTCACAACTCCCTGAAAGTTTTCATCAATCATCGAGCAGTGAACCCACAAATTTCAGCAGCATGTTGCATGCAACTGGGGAACAAAGCCACAAAGCTGGAGGAGACCTCTAGATTCTTAAGATCCACTCTGCTTCGGGTTGAGGACTTGTTTCATTTAGAAAGGTGTGAGCCCAGCCCAAGGCAATGTGGGACTTGTAGACTCCACCCCACCCACTCGTTTAGGAGCCCGTCAAAGGGAGCAGGGCGGAGGTGCCCGATGGCGCCCCCAGCCCACTGCAGGCACAGGAGACTCTAACGCCCCGCTCCCACTCTGGGCAGCACGCGCCGCCGGTCACCGAGCGGAGGGAAATGCCACGCAGACAGCTTCAATCCCAGCTAGGGGGTGGCACAACCGGGCGCCAGCACCTACGAACCGCGAAGCTGGGTTCCTGGGTCACAGGCCTTGGGTCCACAGATGAACAGAGAAGGAACTGAAAGGGAGGCACAACAGCAGCTTCAAAGCTTACGATGTGTACTCGCGTCTGGGCAGCCAACGGCCCCAAAATGGATACTGCGATGTGCTAAGGAACGCCTTTTAAAACCGCTTTTAAAAGTTTCCTGACTCCAAATCTGGCATGTAAAACTTGCAACAAAAGTATGCTAATGAGTGTCCTTTTTCTTCCTCCCACCCCCACCATAAAACACTGTCTTTTGGCTGAAATGTTTTACTAAGCGTTACTTTTATTTCTACCATTTTTTTTTATTCTTAGGACTTTTTTTTTTAAGTTTTAGGTTCACAGCACAATTGAGTGGAAGGCAGAGAGACCCCCCACACACCCTCTGCCCCCACCGTACACAGCCTCCTCCGTGTCAACATCCCTCCCTGGGGCCCCGGCACGGTTGTCACCACTGACGAGCCTACTGTGTCACACCGTCACCACCCGCAGCGCACGGCTTTCCTGAGGGCTCCCTCTGGACGTGGTGAGCTCTGTGGATTTGCACCGACGGCGGATGCCACGCACCCATCGCTGTGGCTGCCTACCGAGCACTTTCACGGCCCTGGACACCCTCTGTGCGCTGCCTTCTTACCTGCCCCCACTCCGTGAGCGCCTGCCCTGCAGACTAATGGGTTTTTATAAAAAACTGCTCGCTGTCTATCTAGGATCTCCAGTGTAAGGTTGTACTTTTAGTATTTGCACACCCGATTCTAAGTGCTACACATAGTAACTTATGTAATCCTTACAGCACCTGCAAGCTAAGTGCTATTTTTGTCTAGCTTTACAAACAAGGAAACTGAGTCTCAGGCATAGTAAGCAGCTTGGTTAACGTGGGCTATGGCGGTAGATAAGCTACAGATTCTTAACCACTGCTCCAAACCACCACGTGGGTTAAACCTCAGACATGCCACGGGATGACATCAAGCAAGTCAGTCCTTTTCTTGTGAATACTGTTGGTGAAGACATTTTTTAAAATTTTTATTTCTTACTTTTATAGAAAGAGAGGAAGGGGGAGAGACAGACAGACAGACAGACATCTATTTGTTGTTCCACTTACGGATGCATTCATTGGTTGATTCTTGTACATGTCCTGACTGGGGATTGAACCTGCCACCTCGGCGTATCAGGGCGACTCTCTAACAACCGAGCTGCCCGGCCAGAGCTAGGACAACATTATTGATATTGATCTAATGTTTCAGCCTGGCAGATATTACTTAGTAATGCTCCTCCCTGTACACACCAATGAGACACAGAGTGCAGAAGGCTGCTCCCACGGGAAGAGAAAGGATGCAATGTCATTTATGCAATGCCGTTTGCACAACGCCCTCCATTTGGAAATACACTAAAACAAAACCAAAAAATGATTATCGGTTCTTTATGTGCAATTTAAATCCAGTGGGGGCAGCTGCATGTTAGTTCACGAAGTCTGGTGAGCCTGCTCTCTTTCCTAATTGCCCCAGTCATGTTCCAGCTTCCTCTCCTCCCCACATTCCCCGGGGAAGGGGCCAGGCCCCACTTCCTCAGGTGTTCACAGGGTAACGAGCCTCCTGCCTCCTGGAGAAGCTACTGCCACCACCTCAGCAAGGTCCCTAAGTTCCAGCTCCCGAGGACCTCCTCCCCAGTGCCGCTCCTCCCAGCGCAGGCTCTTGCCCAGTTCGGGAGCTACGCCACTTCCCCCACCCCACACACACCCCCCTTTCTAAGACTCAGTTCGATTATTCCCGCTTTCTCCTGCAGTCTCGATTCTTGACTTCTGGTGACTCTTTGCCTTCAACTCACATTAATATTTTTGTGTTTCCCCTATCAAAAACTCACTGTCTTCCCCTTATACGAGGCCCCAACAGAAGTCTCTCTTTCTTCCCTTATTTGCCAACATTCAAAACTACGCGGTGGAATCTGACAGGCTTGGATCAGCCTCCCTGCGGTACCTGCTCACTGCGGGACAGCGAGCGAGCCCTCTGGACTCCCTTGAGCCTCGGCTTCCTCTCTCCCAGTGGCACGACGGCGTTTCGCTCTGGCAGCCCTGGGGAGGAGCCCTGGGGAGGAGCCCTGGGGAGGAGCCCTGAGCTTTGTGCGTGTGGAGAACCCCCCACAGCAAGGAGAACGTGCTTCACCCTCCACGGCCTGTCTCCAACTCTACCATAGTCGGTGCTTCGTCACCTCACTTTCCATCTTTCCATTCACTTCCTTTCTGATTTTCAAATTAAATCATTTTTAATAAAATTAATACACATGATTAATGCACATGATTTAAAAAATCAAATAGCACAAAACTTGCAAGGAAGACCATCCGTCCTCAGAGGTCCCCTGGTCCTTGGGCCTTCCCAAAAGGCTCTGCTTCCCCTGTTTTATACCTCTATTCCTTGATTATCCATTTTAAATGGTACCTATAGATTCTCTGCCATGTTGAAGGAATATTAATTCACTTATCCTTAAAAAAAAACTCCTTGTGTTATAAACTTTCTAAATCTTTGCATGTCTGCTATTTTAAAAATCCAATGTTTACATTTGACTAGTAACATTTTAAGCCGAATATAGAGTTGTAGGTTGTAACTTTCCCTGAGAAATGTGAACGCACTGCTGCCTTGTCTTTTAATTTCTGGCGCTCCTGATGAAAAGTCTAAAGCTAGACTTCCGGCCAAGATGGAGGCCGGAAAGTAGAGACACGTTTCCTCCTCACAAAACCGAAAGAAGGACAACGACACATTTAAAAACAAAAAATAACCAGAACTTCCAGAAAATCGAACTGTATGGAAGTCCGACAACCCAGGGGCTAAAGAGGAAACATTCTCCCAGACCGGTAGGAGGGGCAGAGACAGGCGGCCGGGGTGGAGAGGACCCGGCAAGGCAGCGGCTGGCAGACCAGGCGGGCCCATATTTGGTGCAGATAAACCAGAGGAACAGCTGGGGAGCGAGACAGACCAGGCAACCCAGGGCCCCAGGGTGGGAAAAGTCTCAGACCCTCTGGAGGTAAAAACCTGTGGGGGTTGCCGTGACAGGAGAAACCCCCAGCCTCAGAGGAGGGCCCATTGGAAAGACAAACGGGGTCCTAGGACGTACACAAACCCACACACCTGGGAGTCAGCACTGGAAGGGTCCGATGTGCTTGTGGGTAGCGGGGAAAGTGACCGAAGGCCTGCCGAGAGCCGAGCAGGCAGCACTGTTCCCTCTCAAACCCCTCCCCCACACAGCGTCACAACGCAGCGACCTGGGCTGCCCCGCCCTGGTGAATACCTAGGGCTCCGCCCCTCCCAGCGTAGCAGGAGCGCTGAGACAAAGAAATATGGCCCAAAGGAAAGAACTGAGCTAAGCTTCAAAAATAGAGCTAAGCCATGAACAG